TCCTAGTCAGCGGGAGGTCCCCACACATCTCCCCCGCCGCCCACTTACGGCGCCGGGGTGTGTGTAAATACGTATATGGAAGTATATATATATATATGGATGAAGCGCTTCGCCGCCGCAATCGGAGAGGGCGCTGAGGATCGTTTATCCGAGGAGAGGCTGCCTGTCTCCAAAACGAAGCATTCGCTGAAATGAATGTCACTTGTTCAATTCCCTGGGGAAATTCCTTGATGGCCACAGGATTTTTGGCTTGAGAAACAGGGACTTGCTAAAATAACTTCGTTAGCGTGGGTCTTCTTTTATTTTTTCTTGTGGTAAAGGAAAAGATCCTTCTTATTCATTGGGCTCTTTGCAAGAGCCTGGTAGTCCTAATCCCAGACTACACTTGTAACCATTGCTTGGGTGAGTAAATATTTTGGTGACAATCTTTGTCACACTCTTGGTATTTGTATAAAGGGAAAGCTAACTTCATTGTGGCCCCTGAAACAAAACTCCCAAGGTGTCTTTCTATTTTTTTTTTAATAAGAAGAAAAAGCATGTGATGTACATGCCATTATAACACCTAGTGGCAGCATCAGAGAAGAGTTCTGTGACCTTTGGGCAAAGCACAAAATAGTGTCATAAAATAAGCTGATTGGAAAATAGTGTACGTAGTAGAAGCAGCAGCTTTTGCTTTCAGGCTTTTGTCTCTGTGCTCTCTAATCTCTATTATGAATGCTTGCTTTGACATTAAGACTAGGTAAGGGAGTCCTATTACCCTGTATACAAACATACAGAGTAATTGTATTCACACAAACCAAAAAGCTTAGCAGGGATGGACATGGTTGCTACTTAGATGGGAGATCACTTGAATGGAAAGTTTGAAAAAAAACAGAAAAAGGCAATGGCAAAAAGTTCTATTTGTTATCAAGAAATCTATATTGATGTATCCATGAAGTCACTTGATGTTAAGCATAACTCAGAGGAGATCTTATGAATTTTCTGAAAGTCATCCTAGGGGGAAAATGTGGCAGCTCTGAAATTGCCTGTTTTAATAGTGTAGCAAATAAAATTTAGGAAACAGTGTATTTTTAGAAACTCTGGCTTGCAAACTGCACTGGTACCAACAAAATCTAGCTAACACAATTATTTGCTGATAAATTCAGTAAATAGTAAATTGTCTACATTTTCCTTCAAATATTCTTTATTTAAAATATAAACAAGAAGCTCTTTCAGATCAGACCAAAGGCTGGTATAGTCTAGTATTTGTAACATACAGTGAGCAAAGGAAGCACTGTTGATCTATTAGAAAAATTTAACTAAGGAAATGCTTTTATTATTATGTTAAAAGTTGCAAAATAAGAGCTCAAAAGCTTATATACTAGGTTGTAGCATTTTATTGTAGATGGTCCTTAGAAATGTATAACTGGCCTTACACAAGAATGATGTACTGTGGAGCATAATAGCTAGACTGGGATCAAGGAACCTCAGGTTGAAATGCACACTTGGCTTTGGAGCTCTCCAAATCACTTTAGGCCACTCATTTCAATCTTACTTCACAGGTTGTTGATTTGAGGATAAAAGAGAGATAATCACACATGACAGCTTGAACTCATAAGAGCAGGTAGAATAGAAAAGTGGAGGAATATCAGTATAACATTTTAAATTTGCCTTATCATAGTTGTTGCTCTTTGTACCAGCTTGATTTGACTGCAGTTGTAAAGAATGGATGAAAAGAACTGCAGTATGTATTCCGAGAACTTCACAATGGCTTGGTCTATTCATGTTGTTTTCCATATCTTTATAAATACTTTTGTTTGCCTTTTAGTAAGTTCAAAGCAGATAATTGAGGTGAATAATACAGTAGTGCTCCCTTTTTTCTTATGTTCAGAAGCACATTTGCACATACTTACAAATGTACACATATATATAGTTAGCTGTTCTTCCCACTGCATTAAATGTACTTATCTGTTTAATCAATTTTTAAAGAATTCACAGAACAAACACCATTCCATCTTACAATATTCATTCATAATATTTCCTTGAAGGTACAATTATGATCTATTTGGTACAGTCACTGAATTCTGGAATGATACTTCTGGAAAGTTCTTAATCATCTTAACTCTCTTAAACACTTTATAGCAACTTTATCACAAGATTATATTGGTTATTAACTCATGAAAATAGTTTTTTTCCCTTCCAGAGGTCTTAATAACATAATAAAAAGCTGTATTGAACTATATGGATAAATAGTCCATATAGATAGTCTGATCTGGCAGAACAAGGCACTTTCTTATGTTTCTATAATGTCAAAGGTTTGTGACAAGCCAAATATCTACATGATAGTTTTATTTATTTCAAGATTTACAAGGCCACCCAATTCAGTGTAACTCTGGACAGTGTACAACATAAACATGCAATAATAACTAACAACAAACAACCAATATATAAATACAAAAGCTAAAATGTAAATTGGCAACCAAGCACAGAACAAAACAAACCTCAGAGGGGGGACTCCCACTCAACCAACCCCTAATGCCTGGAGGAAGAGCCACGGGTCTTAAGGGCTTTCCAACAGGCAAGGAATGTTGGAGCCTGCCATATACTGGGGGGGGGGGATTGTTCCAGAAAGCAGGGGCAACCATGGAAAAGGCACATTTCCTAGGTCTCATAAGATGACAAGACTTAAAGAACCTGGAGCATGCCCTCCCTGTAGGAGCATGTGGGGCAGGCAGGTGTTCTTGGAAGAAGGCCGTCTCTCAAGTAACCTGGTCCTATGCCATATAGGTCTTTTATAGTTGGCCAGGAGTGGGGAGGAGTTTAAGAATAGTAAGTTAAAATGTCTTCAATTCCAAAAAGCCTCTCTGAGCCTTTTTAGAATTGAGTGGCATATAAATAACAGTAATAACTAAATAATTTATTTTGCTACTGAGACATCAACATGTAATACAGGTAGTGACTTCATTATGCCTAACCAAACTAGTTCCCAGATTAATTAAAAGAGAAAGTCACTGCCTTTAGGTTTATAATCTCAAAGGTTCAAATATAAAAGGCATATGGAAAATGCATTGCTTTTTTAAGAGTTACAGATTTCTTATGACATTTCATATATATATATATATATATATATATAT